ACAGAGGGTCTGCAGCAGTCGCTCCTGAGAGCCAAGATCACTGAGAGAGCAGCGGAGTCCAGGTGGGTGTGACTGTTTGCTTTTAAGCAGGAGAAATTCAGGGGTGCCCCTGTGAAAGGAGGAGAAGGCAGTCGAGAGCACATGGCTGAGGAAATGAGGCAGCAAGGGAACGGGATGGATTCCAGAAGGGGATCCAGGGCTTGGGGATCCTCCTGGTGAAGCAAGACCCTCTGTGATAAGGAGGGGGGTAGAGACTTTCCTCAAGTCTAACTATTAGGGGTACCCCCCAAAAGAAGCCTTTTCAAAGCTATGTATTTCTTTTTTCTTTTTTTTTTACAAAACAACCTTATCACCTCCAAAGGACTCTCTATTACACTTAATACATTTGTCAAATCTGTGATTACATTCTTGGAAACATTTTTTTAAATTCATCTTTGGCTGGCTGACAACGCCGCCCTCGTTTTTTTCTTCGCCTCTTCTACATCATTCTATCACTGTCTTTTCATGTCCCTCTTCATTCTGGAAACAAGAACAAGCCTCGTGGGGAAAGGTGAGGTGAGTAAGGTGCTGGGGCAAGAGAGTCATTCTGTTTTTTTACCAAAACTGGGGCACTGAGAAGGCTGCGTGAGCAGGTGCATTGTCTTGGTGACAAAACCAGTCCCCCGGCTCCCACAAATCAGGCCTTTTCTGTCGCACACTGCTACGCAATCTTCAGAACCTCAAAATAGAAAGATTGATTAACAGTCTGACCTGGTGGAACAAACCCCAAATGCTCCACGAGTCAGCATGTTCGACCATTCGAAAAGTTGACGGACGTCCAGAACAAGGTTTATCATCAATTGGCATTTCACCTTTTTGAAACAAGAAAACCACTTGTACACCTGAGTTTTTCCCGTAGCGCTGTTCTTTGGAAGCTGTATTCAACATGACAAGAGTTGCTGCAGCATTTTTCCTGAGCAGGAAACAAAATTCACAGCCACACGCTGTTCTCTTAAATCAGCCTTCGCATAAAACAAGGTTCAAGTGAAACTGCTTTTGTGAGAAAATTCACTGTGACCAGAGAGAGCCTTCCAGGCGGTCACTGGGTGCGCTAACAGAGCGAGTTGCTCCATGCCCACCTAGCAGGAAAAATGCGTACTATGAAAGCTCCGCTCGGCCCAGTGGAGCTTTTTCTGGGTTTGTTTGTGTGTTTTTTTTTTGGGGGGGGGGGGTACACCCTTGTATTTTGACTCATTTAACCTTCAAAGTTGCCCCAAGCAGACCCCATGGTCTTCCCTTGACAACAGCAGTCAGAGAAGTCAGTAATCTCATGACACCCGGTATTGGGAATGAGGAAGTTGAATCTACATTTGTGTCTTACTGACTTACTGAGTCTTTCTTTCTGACACGCCAAGTGAGTGGGACAACACAGGGAGCTGGGGGCCCAATGGCACCTGTAGAGGACAGAGCCAGGCAGCAGGTCCACCACCACCTCTCTCTTCTCCCGTACCACCATGGACCTCGTTCTCCTCCGTTACGGACTCTCCACCCATGAGTAGTGCATCTTGCCACGTGACACCACGAGGCAAGTACTGGTCTGTTCCGATATTGATGGTCCGTGCACTCACTTTAGTGCCCCCTGCTGAAACCCAAGCCCACTGCCTTCCCGTTGACTTCAATGCACAGCAGCCCTTCAGCAGAGACTAGCGCTGGCCCCAGGGTTCCCCAGGCTGTCCACTCTGGGGAGCAGCTGCCTCACCTTCCTTCCACGGAGTAGCAGCTGCTGACACTTCATTGTTGTGCCTCCTGGACTCTGTCCCAAGTCACACTGAGCTGTGAGGCAAGGCTTGGAAGCGCATCCACCTTCTAAACACAGACGCAGAGGGTTTTTCTTTCTGCATCTTATTTTCTGAATGCCCCTGTGTCGCTGAGCTTTTTGATAATGAAAATAACGATGCGTGAGAACTGGGTGACGCTTTCCTACCATCCTGGGTTTGGGAAATCATTTCTTTATGTTCTTCTGCTGTGAAACCAGAGCCTTCTGATTCTGAAAGCCAGATTCCAATCGCGTCTTATCCCAGGAAGAATCAGAGCGTGCAGGAATGCCGTGCTAGCATGAGAATTATGACTTGTAGTTTTGCTCCCTTGGCAGATAAGCTGGCCGTATGTTTTCTTAAGTTTTGTGCAGTCCGGTGCCCTATTGCAAGTCTTCTTTCAATGAAGATCTGACATGAAAATGATGGCACCTTAGAAGTGACCCTGGAGCAAACTGTCCCTTGGACGCCGTGGGGCCTCTAGTGTGTGAGGCGTGGGTGGAGTGCCACCTCACCAGCTAGACTTCCGTGCTCTGACACCCGTAGAACCATGTCTTTTTAGTTGCGCTGTAGCTTGTCATAAAGATTGTGCAAATGAGCATGTGGCCGATAGCCGGTTCTAAAGATGTAAAAACTAAGTTTAAATGGTCCTCACAGCCCCGTAACTCATCTTTCTTCAGCTCTGGAAAAGGAAGAGAGGAGGGGAGGACTCATCAAACGTCCTCCGTAAAGATTGGCTTAATAAAGTGACAGATGCTTCCACGTTCCTGAAATGGTCAAGCCGTGTCATAAAATGTAAGGGATCTGAAGGGAAGAACACTGGCTATTCTACCATATTCCTCCATGAATACTTCTTTGTGGTTTTCCCCTACATATAATGCCTGTGTCTCCCCCATATTTTTTCACAAGTTGAATCCATTGCCTGTTAGTCTTTTTCTACCTGACATCAAATCATTCACATTGTACATCATTTTTTAAATTATCTACTGTAATGACAGTATAAAATGAAGATGAAGCTCACGGATGAGATTTTGTTAATTAGGTTGAAACCACAGAGAAGATACTGAGTAAAAGAATCCAAGTTTTCCTACATGATCCCTTGAGAGTGAGTGTTGTGGGGTGCCCTGGGGACCCCCTCCCTTGGCAGGGTAGAACTTCCCCCATCGGGTTCCCTGGGCTGCGGTGGTCACAGGAGCAGATCGCCCGGGCGTTTCTGCAGTCCTGAGCTGCAGGAAGTGCACTAAACCCAGAATAATCTGCCGGGTGCTATGAAATTACAGCAAGGACGACGATATCTCCAAATGCACGGCTCTTAACAACAACCCTATAGGAAAAATATATTGATAATGACAACCACCCTGTAGGGCAGAGTAGAAGAGCCCCGTGGGGTTTCCAGTATGGTGACGCCTCACCGAAGCAGAAACTCTTCCCTATCCCTGGGCAAGGTCATTGCTGCCTGACTGGAGGGAAGTAGCCATCGCTCTACCATTATTGAAGATACCATAAGGAGGTCAACTTTTGATTGCTAACTACCAGGTCAGTGGTTCGTGCCCACCAGCCACTCTGAGGGAGAAAAGTGAGGCCCCTTCTCCTCTAAAGACTACAGTAGCACAAATTTGGGAATGTAAAGTCAACGTGACCCAATTTCACATAAAATTGTGCAGGAACAAAATAAGCCCTACGTCTCATTGCAAAGGCTGGTCTCTCAAGCTGTTCGATTCCTGCCATTTAGTGTGAACACGTCAGAGGAGAGAGCGAGACTCACACAGCGGAGCGGAGCGTTGTCTGCTAGCAGCCGGAAGACGAGCCCCTCAGGTCAGACGACCTGTAACTAGGACTGAAACAAGCCTCCCTCCTCCAAGCAGAGCCCCCGCCGTGACGTGGCTGCAGCTCAGCTCCGGGGTCTTCATCTGCTGTGGGGCGTGACCCCACGTGAGAAGAAACGGCCGCACGCACCGACTCCAGGGAAGGGCAGTGACAAAGTGGGGGGCCCTCAACAACACGGCTGGACAAAGCGGTCGCAGAGTTGGGTGCGGACACCAGTGTGAGGATGGCCCAGGACCAGGCAGCGTTTACTTCTCGTGCAGGTCGGTCGGTCGCGGTGAGTCAGAACCAGCTGGACCGCCCTGACAGCAGCCATGAAGCTCACTGACCCGCAGTGGCACCGTGGGACTGGCTCGGGTGGCGTCTGCAGTTACATGCAGCCTTCACAGGAGCAAATTGCTAAGTTTCTCACCCAAGGAGCAGGTGAAAGAAAAAAAGAAAATCTTTCCTTTTCCAAAGAAGTGTGTCACCTTTATAAATGTCTATTTTGACCTATTGCCCAGAGTCCTGGTAGTCCGGTGGTTACAGCACTCAGCTCCTGAGAAAGACTGGCGGTTCAAACCCAGCATCCGCTCCTCGGGCTACAGACGGGGCCATCTGCTTCAGTCAGCATGGTGCCCTGGAGAGCCTCGGGGGCAGTCCCGCCCCACCACAGGGCTCTCCGGGAGCTGGAACCTCCTCACCTGCACACCACCGCAGCGGCCCAGTGGGATGAACTGGGCTTCCCTAGAATGCCCCCGGTCAGATCGTGTTATAAATGGGGGTCCTCGCTGTGTACCCAGTGCTCCCCGGGGACACGTCTGGAGAGTGGTCCGTTCGGTCCACATAAGAGCTTGTCATTACGTAGCGTGATTCCCACATTGTGTCTGAAGACACTTCACTTGGGGAGGATTCATTCCCTCGCCCAAAGCCAGTCAGCAAACATGGCAGTGGGATGCCCCGCCGTGGTGAACGCCGCACGGTGCCGCTCTGTGTCTGTGGCCACGCGGCCCTCTCAGCCACGTCCGTTCCTGGGACTCCAGACCCCACGTGTTCTCTCCGCGCACTACAAACAAAGGGAGAGGAACCAGAACCGAAGGGGAACAGGGCCCACGGGTGACCCAGTGGCTGGGAAGCTGCAGGGAGTCCCACGCCTTCTCTGCGGCGCCACTGTGAGCCTTCAGCGTAATTGACGGGGAGGCGGAGCAGTTTCATCAAGCCCTGCGCCGAGAGACATTTATAAGCGGCCCAGCCACGGCTCCTGGAAACGCTAGCTTTGTGTTTATTTATTCATTTCGGTATCTCACATTTGGTCCTGACAAGTCTGTTATAAAAACTAGGGTGTCGTTGACAGTTTGTTTGGAATGAGACTCGGAAATGTTTGATGTGCAAGAAATAAAACCAGGCCTATCTTAGTATGCAGCACTGGTCTTTCATGCTTTTACCAGCAAGGTCTTTCCACCAGAACAGGTGGGTTGGAGTTTGATGAAATAAGAAAGGGTTGCAAAAGGTTGCTGCGTCTTTCCTGACAGGAGATATGGAAATGAAACACTGCGGCTTTCTGCTCTGGTCTTTCAAGAAGACCCTCCTACAGAAGCCCCCCCGCCCGACCCCCCTGCACCGGGCGGCATGGCCCGGAGTGTCCAGATCTGGCTCCTGTGCTGCTGCTCTTCTGGGGGATGCCCCCAAGTGAGGAAGGGCAGAGAGCCCAGGCAGCCAGGTGCCTGTTGCAGGACACCAAGGAGCCGTAAAAAGCAGCCTTTGGGGGCAGAGGTGTACTTACTTATTGGCTCCACAGAAGGCTAGCGGTTCAAGTCCACCCAGAGGGCCTCAGCAGAAAGGCTGTGGTCGACCGAAAACACGCGTCCCTGGAGCGTGGTTCTTCTGTGACTTGCAGGTCGCCGTGAGTCCTGCCAAATCCGGGCAGCTGGGCCTGCTGCTCATCCTCTTGGGGCAGGGGTCGTTTCCTGAGGGAGAGTACAGTAGCTCTGGTTCAGTTCTGTGGTGGCAGGAAGAGACAGGGGATATGGACACTGGTCACAGGGCCTAGTGAGGATGGCACTGGTCACAAGAGGAGACGGGGGAGAGGAGGGAAGGGCCTTTTCAGAGGCAGCCCCAGGACCAGACTGCCTGCTCCTCCGTTCTGTGCAGAAGGTGCTGACGTCGGTGGGACTGTCTCCCTGTAGGTGGGCTCCATGGGAAGCCCACGGCAGCTCCTTCATAGGAGGCAGTCACTCCCGGCTCTCTAGAAACCAAGCACGTCCATTTGAGTCTGTTTCCAACCATGAGACGGTGTGTGGAGAGGAGAAGGAGCTCGGTGCTTGATCATGGGAGGCACAGGCCTCAGCTCAGCTGCCCACAGGCTGCGGTCCGCAAGCTACAGTCTGCAGGACCGACAAGCAAGCCCACTGCCGGCCAGTTGACTCCAACTCGGAGACCCCTGACAGGCCAGAGGAGATGCTCCACAGGGCTCCAGGCTGTGAATCACCACAGCAGCCTTTGCCTTCTTCCCTGAATCAGCTAGTGGGTTTGAACCACCGACCTGTGTTCAGCAAATCTATGTTTAACCCACAGCACCACCAGGGCGCCTGGAAGAGGCTAGCGTGGCCATCTAGAAGGCTGCCACATAAACACAGGAAGCAGGAGCCAGCAGGTGAGAGGAGCAGTCCCTCCATGGGCAGTGGCTGCCGTGGCACCGCTGGTGACTCAAAGGTGCTTCTGCTTTAGGAATAGCTTTAAACAATTCCTTAGCCAGGAGCGTAGCCAACATGCAAAAATGTGCTTCACCCCATCAAGTGAACGCACAAGGTGGTCAATGGCAAAGTCTTCTCTTCTCTCTGGAGAACATATTCTTACACGCACACACTGCACAACTCCACACACCTACCACACCACCCACACTGTGCACTCACACTCTCTGAGATCCTGACGGATCTCTGCGCTCTGGTTTCCTGGATCAGCTGTCACTGCATTAGAGCATCTTGCGCTGCCTCCTGGGTCTAGGAGGTTCTCAGCACAGGGGCCACGGTTCTAAAAGACGCACTCTACCTTCATATTGTCTCTGTGGAGGCCAGGGGCCCTCCGTGCTCTAGGATTGGCTCTCTTGGGCTTAGTCGGATGGCCAAACTACCCAACGCCCTCATTAGGTTTTTATACACTGTATTTGCATGAGTTCACCACCACCACCCTTAGGGGTTCGATATACCTTATTTGCATTCTTAGCAGGTTGTTCAAACCTCTTGGTGAACCACAGCACCTTATTTACAAAATCCCACCCAATTAGTGTTTGGGAGCAACAAGACCATGAGTGATCAAGAGGATCACGGCACTGCATAGAAATAGAACGCCATTCCCACACTGTGGTGTTCTCCCAGCCCTCTGAACGGCACGTGTCCTGTTTCCACTCAGGTAACTTGTAAGCTACGTGCAGCATGGCTCCGTGGGAGAGGGGAGAAGAGGAGAAAGCATGAGCATCCAGAGGAGGCAGGATGTAATTGGGGTTAGAAATGGAGGAGAAACGCCTATGAATATAACTCCTTGGGAAAATAAAAATAACGTTGGGCTGCAGTGGAAATTCCATCTGTAATGAGAAAGCACAGAAACAATGAAGTTGCCTCTGGTTACATTAGGAAGGACTTAGCACGGATCTTGTCTGGGCGCCTTCTCGAGATGCTGTGCCTGACTCTCCCCTGCACACAGGGTTTAGGCGTCTCAGAGAGAAGCTTCAGCTCTGCTCCCAGGTCACGTTTTGGAAGCTGCAATCACATGAAATGGAGAAGACCCGAAGGCTGTCTCAGGCACCTGTCACCTCCTTAATGAATTCCCCCCATGCACAGTCAGTCTCGGGCAGAACCTGGGTGAGTGGCACTCTCAATGCCCCCCAACTTCCCCGACTCCGTGGGACCCAGAGTGACAATCACCAGGCGCATCCTCGTCTCAGGAGGACAGGGACTGTGGAGGGGACAGAGCAGTGGTTTGGCACAGCACCAGGATCAGACGATGAGCCTGATGCCAGAAGCTCCATCCGCGGTGAAGAGCGGAGTCCTCAGGGCATTGGGTCCTCACCCGATAGCGTCTCGTGTGGGAGAGGAGCCAGAAGTGGATGCTATTTTTTACTTTTGAGGTATGTCCTAGTGCTAGAGGCAGCCTTGTACCTGGTGAATGAGCACTCTTCAAACTTTTGCCTTGTGTCCAACCCTCATGGATTTCTTAAACACTATTAATTTACTGAAGTCTTTATCCTGTACAACTGGCATCCCATGTGCTTTAGTCTAAAAATCTGTTCTATGCATACATAGTATCCTTTTCTGAATAAAACTTTAGGTCTATACCGTTGGCTAGACTAATGATACTACTGCTAAAGATTTCATGGCGGTTCCTTAAATTATGTCTCAAAAGCTAATAATGCTGCCTTCAGAGTGGATCAGGAATATATATAAACTTTAAATATATGGATGGATTTTGAGCTCACGCTTAATCATTAACCCTAATCCACTAGTTCTTAAGATACAACCCTGCTCAACACTTGTCTTCATAAGTGGTCACTGAAGATATGGGTGCTAGAGTAAAGTGTTAGGAAGAAATCAGAGGTTGCCCAGCTATCAGACAGAAAGCTGTCCGGGATCTTAAAGACTTGTCTTTAAGCAGGCAACCATCTAGGTGAGGTGTCAGCTAAGTCCACATGGAAGGAACACACCAACCCACGTGATCCAAGGATTGTGAATAATCAAGGTCAGAGGAGGGAATTGTATTGCAGCTTAAATTCTGAGCCTCAGTTTGCAGAAGGTGATGAATGACAATGAAATCCCCACATCTATTTGCAGTCTCCACAGTGTTTAAACTTCCATTGAACTCCCTCTAACCATTGACTAGAAAGATGAATAGTCTGTCCTCAGACAGAGTCCTTTGGACAGTGGATTACTACAGATGGAGTGAGGTTAGAATTTAACCTATTATCATTTTCCCCCTTTTGACTCATTTCTAATCTGCTCTAGTTTCTATTATCATCTGTTTTGACTTGATTGGGGTTTTCTGTGTTTTATCTTGTTGTTGTTGGGGGGTGGGGAGTGTTGTATAATTGTCTTTATATGAAATTCAGGATCAGTAAATCTATAGATACAGTAATTAGATTAATAATTCCTTTGGATTATGGCAAGGGAGGTGAAGGAGGTAAAGGGGATCTAATAACAATGGGCCCAGCAATGAAGAAAATGCAACAAAAAATGAGGAGTTGATGCCAAGGGCTCATGTAGACAGCAAAGGTTTTGAGAATGATGATGGCAACAATGTACACATGTGCTTGACAGAATGGATGGATGGTGATAAAAGTTGTACGAGCCCCCAATAAAATGATTTTTTTTTAAAATAAAGAATGAAGAAAATGCTCTAAAATCGATTCAGGTGATGAGTAGACAACTCTTTTTAATATATTTAAATCACTGAGTTGTAGGCTACATGAAATGTATGTCAATAGAACTGTTAAAAATAAACTGTTTTTTAAAGGGCGAATGTTTGTTTCCGGGTGTAGATTGCACCACAATCTGCCCTGGAGCCCTCCCCCCAGACTTGTGGGTGTCACCCTCCTTGGAGATGGGGTTTCCCACAGCACGTTTATGAGGTCTTCGCAGTGTAGGGCATGTCCTAAACCTCAGCCCTCCTGAATGGCAATGAGCAGCGTAGACACAGAAAGGGCCCCTTGGCAGTGCAGGGGTAAAACACCCAGCTATTCCCCTCAAGGGCAGCAGGTCAAAGCCCTCAGCACCCAGCAGGGAAGATGTGGCTGCTGCTCCCACAAAGATGGGGGCCTCCTGCAAGCATTAGCTAAATGAGTCAATGAACTGCAGGCACGTCGGTCTCCACAACCCTGAGACCAGAAGAACCAGATGGGGCCTGGTGGCTACTACCACGTGCTCTGAAGCGGCTGATGCTGGAAGGTCCTGCATAGAGTGTGGGGTAAAATCCACACCCTATAGACCGTGTGTACGGGCTCATAGAGACGGGTGGAGCCCCAAAGACCATCTACAACCCTTAGTCACTCTTCGGGTCTGGAATTAAATTGACCCCATGGTTCAGTTTTCAGCCTAAAAGTAGGCAGGTCTCCCAAGGGAACATTTCTTTACATTGACTTGAAATCCATATTGAAGACTGAACAAGATCAATTGGAGGTGTTTATGGGCAAAGATGGCCCTGTGAGTGTGAAGGTGCATGCGACCCGAGCTATGGTATTTTCAGTCACTTCGTATGCATATGAAAGTTGGACATGGATTAAGGAAAAGTGAAGAAGAACTGGAGTATTTGCATTATGGTGCTATCAAAGAATATAGAAACTCATGGAGACTTCCAGAAGAACAAACCAATATGTTCTGGAAGACGTACAGCCAGAAAGCGCCTTAGAATTGAAGGTGGCAAAATATTGACTCTCATACTCCAGACATGTTGTCAGGAGAAACCAGTCCCTGAGAAACACCCCCATGCTTGGTAAAGTAGAGGGACGCTGAAAGAGAGGAAGCCCTTCAGCATGACGGATTGACCCCGTGGCTGCCCCAGTGCCTCAAGCACAACACCCTGTGTACGGACAGTACAGACTGAGCAGAGTCCCGTCCACCCTGTTGTGCGCAGGGCCCCGGTGAGTGGTGCACCTAACAACAGCACCATGAATGACCAGAACCTCGTGAGGTCCATGCCCCTTAGAACAGCCCATTTTTTTTAAAGTCATTTTATTGGGGGCTCATACAACTCATCACAATCCATACATACATCAATTGTATAAGGCACATTTGTACATTTGTTACCCTCATTATTCTCTTTAAATTATTTTATTGAGGGCTCTTACAATCCTTATGACAGTCCATACATACATCCATTGAGTCAAGCACATATGTACACCTGTTGCCCTCATCAATCTCAAAACATTTGCTCTCTACTTTGGCCCTCAATATCATTTGCTCGTTTCCCCCCTCCCCCTCCCTCCTGAACCCTTCATAATTCATAAATTATTATAGTTTTGTCATAAGTTAAACTGTCCAATGACTCCCTCCGCCCCTTCTCTGCTGTCCATTCCCCAGGGAGGAGGCTATACTTAGATTCTTGTAATTGGCTCCCCCCCTTCCACCCCGCATTCCCTTCACCCTCCAGGCCTCGCCCCTCTCACCACTGGTCCTGAAGAAGTCATCTGTCCTGGATTCCCTGTGTTTCAAGTTGCTATCTGTACCAATGTACATCCTCTGGTCTA